AATTATTTAAATTATTTAAATTCTCTGGTCCGCCCGGTCCCCGGCCGCCCGGCGATTTAAATTATTTAAATTATCTAAATAATTTAAATAATTTAAATAATTTAAATAATTTAAATAATTTAAATAATTTAAATCCCCGGGGATTTAAATTATTTAAATTATCTGGTTCGCGCGGCCCCCGGCCACCCGGAGATTTAAATTATTTAAATTATTTAAATTATTTAAATAATTTAAATAACTTAAATCGCCGGGTGGCCGGGTGTTCAAATAATTTAAATAGCAGGGAATTTAAATTATCTAAATTATTCCAACATTCACTTGATCAACGGCAAGTGGGTCTATTTAGAAGCGTTGCTTTTTGATTTTAATTACGGTTTAATACACGTAACCCTATTATAAACACAGTAAAGCAGCTTCTAAATAGACCCAGTTTTGCTCACACACGGGGGGGGGGTTGGTATAGGGTTGAGGGGTTTAGGGGCTTAGGGCCTATACTCCTTGGGCTTGCTGCTTGGGGGGGGGCGGGGGGGTTGGTATAAGGTTTGGTAGAAATTCGAGTAAGGGTCTCGGATTGGAGGCTCCGGGGTGTAGGGTCCAGGGTTCACTGTTTAGGGGGCTTGGGTTTCAGGAAGAAGGGAAGGTCCTGCTAGAGCCACAAGCCAGTCTCAGTGAACAAACTAAAGCCTGCGCATCCTCCCTGTCTATGGGTGTGTCTCTGTCTGTCTGTTTGTTTGTGGCTGCGTGAAAACGGGCATAGGGTTAAGGGCTTTTCTCATAACGACGCCTCCAGACCCAGAAACGCACTCATTATGCCTAATCATTATGCTGGTCCTGGCGGAGGCCCAACCACTGTGACGGTGGCGCTGCCAGCAGTAGGGACCCTGGATCCACCGCACTGGGCCTCAGGCAGCTGCAGTAGTAGGTGCAAAGCTGCGCTGCGTGCCACCAAACCACAGATAGATCGGTGGTTTGATAGATAGATAGCTAGATAGGTAGATAGATAGATACATAGATACATAGATAGAGAGATAAACAGATAGATGGATAGATCGATAGATGGATGGATGGATGGACGGATAGATAGATAGATAGATAGATAGATAGATAGATAGATACATAAGAAATAGATAGCGAGAGAAAGATAGATGGAGAGATAAACAGATACAGGGATAAACAGATAGAAATAAAGATAGGTAGATAGACAGAGATAAATACATCGATGATGGACAAACAGATAGAACGACATACGCACAGACAGATAGTTAGATAGGGGGATAAACAAACAGACAGACAAACAGACAAACAAACAGATAGACTAAATAGATAGGTAGATAGATAGATAGATAAATAGATAGACAGATAAGACAGATAGATAGATAGATAGATAGATAGATGGATGGATGGATGGATGGATGGATGGATGGATAGATAGACAAAGATAAATACATCGATGGATAGATAGCTACATAGACAGACCGACGGACAAACACATATAACAACATACAATGACATACAGACAGGCAGATAAATAGCGGTTCGATAGATAGATCGACCGACGGCAAGATGATCTAACAGATGGATAGGTGGATGGACAGACGGTCGGATGGATGGATGAATCGATAGGTAGTTGGTAGATAGGTAGGTTGGTAAGTACGTAGGTAGGTCGGTAGGTCGGTAGGTCGGTAGGTCGGTAGGTCGGTAAGGTAGGTCGGTAGGTCGGTAGGTCGGTAGGTCGGTAGGTCGGTCGGTCGGTAGGTCGGTAGGTCGGTCGGTCGGTCCGTCGGTCAGTCGGTCGGTTCGGTCGGTAGGTAGGTAGGCAGGCAGGTAGGTAGGTAGGTAGGTAGGTAGGTAGGTAGGTAGGTAGGTAGGTAGGTATTATATATATATATATACATATATATATATATATGTACATATATATTTATA